GTCTGCGCTTGTGTGCGTGTGAGTGTAAGAGTGTTGGTGGCAGTGCGTCTGTGTGCGAGTGGGCAAACATAAAGACGGAAATGCAAACCAACTGGCAACAACCAACAACCAACAGCAAGAGAAACAACGGACTGGATGAAATAAACAAAAAAGCAGAGAAGGCGAATGTGAAAGGAGCGAAATAATAATTTCTAAAGAGCAGAAGTTAGGTTTGCATAAGTAACGACAGTTTTGTGCCCATTTTGTTTGCATACTAAATGCATTTTCTACTTTCAAACACACTCTCCCGCTCCAACACACCCAAACTCATATTAAATGCAACCAAAGGAAGGTTCCTTGGGGACTCCGGGATTAAAGTGTTGCCTACATTTCAGCGCCAAGTGGTCAGCCGTCCTGCAAAGGCGGAGTTTTAAGCAAATGCATAAGTACCTTTCGAGTATTAAACAAAATAGTTCAAATTATACAAATTAATGTGAAAAGTTGTCCCGCATTTGCTGGGGGGAACTATTAATAGTTGGTCTATCATAAAACTTGGCGTGCGCCTGTCCCGCAGACAAACAACTAATAAAGTCCTGCGAACATAGTGAGGAATACCAAAAGCGGTCTCAATGTGGCATTTCCTCGCAAAAACAAACGCATTTTGCGACTAACGCGCGAGTGTCACGCAATCGTTGTTCTATTCCAGCAGTTGCAGCAGTTGTCCTGGAATCCGAAAAAAAGCCAGTGGGTGATTTCGGTTGCCACCCACTCTCCACTTGCCACGCGGATACGGATACGGAGCCGGAACCATGACGCTATCAAGCGGAAGTGGCACATGCAGCCGACCGCGCATTGCTTACTCACTCAATCGCGAATGCGAAAAACCAACTACCAAATTCCCGAGGAAATACCAAAATAAAAAACGAGAGAAAACCGAATTCAGAGCTATCCATGCGTAGCTCCACAATTAAGGAGCTCCCCCGACTTCATATGGGGGAATGCCTGGCGCAATTAGTAGTACCCGATTATAAGACAGCGCTCTGCAAATAGTCATATTTAACAATCGCTTGCCAAGGCCCAAACAGCCGCTGCAATTATCGACTCGAACTGTTCGCATTCGACCGCGGTAACCTTTCACTACAGTAATTATTATGTGGGTTAAAAGCCCCTTTTCAACCAGAGGCGTGCTGTGTGCGCTTCAAGAGGCAGTCAGACACGAACACGTCCTCAAACACTGACATTCACTGCCACTGAGCAGAAAAACACCAACGGAAATCAATAATTTCCATAGTAATTTAATTAAAGGTTCATTGGTTTAATTACAACCCATAATTTGAATGATTCTGAAGAAATAGCAATGGAAAGGGAATTCGAAATTGGAACCCATCTTCTCAAATTTTATATAACAAGACCATTTTATCAGATTTTTAAAGGAAATTAAGAAAAGACTTTAGAATAATCATGTAAAATATATGACAAAATTAAAACGCTTGCCAATGTTAAATATAATTTTACAGATTTGGAATTTGGACAATTTGGAATAAAAATATTATTTAAAATTAAAAGCCCCACTTGTCATTCGCATACATATTTTTCTCAGTGTGCACACGCTCCTTTAGTGTGTCAGTGCCTTGTTTTTAAAGTGTTGTTTCAGTGGGCGAGGGCCGCCACTCGGGAGGCGCTGAACCAAGTTGTTGCCGGTGCTGTCGGGAAATTCAGTCGCCAGTCTGTCAGTCCGTCAGTCCATCAGCCAGTCAGTCTCTCAGTTTGTCAGTTTGTCAGTCAGTCAGTCGATCGGCGAGTTCTCCGTTAGTCAGGCAGTATCTGACGTCATCGGCAGATTGCGTGGCCGATTCAATAAAAGGGTTAAGTGTCTTTTGCTTTTTATGTTCACTTTTCATTAGTGAATGAAAATCAATATGTGAGTCGGCCAGTGCAGCTTTGTCTTAATTGAACCGAGCTAAGGCCGAGAAGCCTTTGAGTCCTTTCTCATGGCCGTGTCGGCTTCCTCCGGATTCCTCTCATCTTTGCTGAGGACACGGGCGCACACAAAAGTGTTTACATTGTTGCCGGCCTGCCTGGCAAATCATTTTTGGGGGGCCTCCGGCAAATAAACTTGACAACCGTTTCAATCAAAAGTGGAAGGCCCAGTTCCCAGTCCGTAAGCCTGCCTTTCCTGCCAAAAGGCAAAGGGCCAAAATGTCGTCGGCAGACGGGATTTAAAGCAATGTCAACGCACAGGAGGCAACATTAATATTTACCCAACCGCAATGTCGGCAGCAGCAGGTGCACAATTAAAATACATTTTCACGCACAAAAACATTAATTAGTTGTAGTTTTTTGTTTGTTGTTGATGTAGAGCAAAGCACGGTAAAACAAACGGAAAACCGCAAGGCAAACACTGGGAGGCTCAGAGTTTATCAGGCGGCGGGAAAATGCAACCAAATAGCCATGTCCAACTGCCTGCCACGCCCCCAAAAAAGGGGAGGGAGGGCGGAGATCGGGGAGCGAGGGTGCCGTCAAACATTTGCGCATTTCTTTCGCGGCTGCGTTTTCCCTCCTTCTTTTCTGGGAATGAAAGGGACTTGAGGGAATTCCAGCGCGCATAATGTGCCGCAATGCGGTTTTTCCTCAGTGCTGGCAAGAGTTGCTTGCTCAACGCCGCAGGACACACACCGATACAAAGACATACACACACACCAACACAAATACTCAGGCGGACAGACAGGCGAAAGTCTCCTTGCTCCTTGCTGTTTATGTGTGTGCGAAGCCAAAGTCGCGCATGTTGAGCTGAATTTTGAGCATAAACGGCATAAAATATGTGAGCAATAAAACAGGCGATTGAAATGCTCAAGTCAAAAACTTTTGCGAAAATGCCTTTAAGCGCCATCGGCTGCAGCTTTGGTGGGCGGTCTCTTTTCCCGCCCACTAGTGTGTGCATATCTGTGTGTGTGTGCTTGATTTATACACCACCCTCATTCCCGCCCACACATGTGTATGCCACACTTTTACCCCCCTTCCACTTTTCCTGCCGATGGGTAAGTCTCTAAGCCGGTGAATGAGCGCCATTGAATCCGAGCTGGCAGCCCAGTTGCCTATGAATTGCCTGTTTTAGGCCGGGCTTTTCACTTCCCGGCTCTCGATGTCGGCACACAGAGTAAAAAATCAAGTATCTCCTACTTACAAGCGATATTTCAGAGCATTATAGTCAGCTCAAAATGATTGCAGTTCAAAGGCAGAAGTTTTTTTAAATATGATTCACTGGCGAAGTTTAATTTTAAGGGTATCATAAAGTGCTTTGGTTAAAACTACGACGTACTATATCATTAAATATTTGGACTGCAAGCATTCACTTCAGTTGAGCTGGCATGCTAAAGTTTCCACATATCAAGTTATTCTATTCTTAAATGACGTATACGACCCAATTACCCGAAACTAAAAATACGACCAGTTAAGCAACAAATTAGACGAACACTTAAAACAAGATATAAATCTTCAAAACAAAATATAAATTTTTTTAAATTCAAATGTTTAATGTTTAAATGCTGATAAGCCTTTCAAATTAAGAATCCTTTTTTGCTTTTGATAAATTTAATCGTTTCTAGAAAAATGACTTCCAAAACTGTTAAAAACACTTCAAGAAAACTTTAATAGAGCAATAAATATGAGATACAACCTCACACTTAAGATGGTTCATTAAAATAGTCCTTAACTTTTATGAATAGGTTCTTCATAGCACATTCACTCTCTAAATAACTCGTTAACTTGTTTTCGCAGTGCAGACATCAACTGGGCTTGGCTTTCGCATTCAGTTTACCCACTTTTCAATGGCTGCCAACAAACAAGCTCCGATGTTTGGTGTTTGGGCTTGTGTGCGAGTGCGAGTGCGGCTTAGGTAAAAGTGTTTGAATTGAGAGAATTAGATGACTTTCTGGGCCGTGCTGCCAAGATTTCGCTTTCAAGTTATGCATGTATTTGTCTGGTCGTCTGATTTTTGGCAAACAAAATGCCAGGTCCACTCACCGCACTTAATTCACGCAGAGACTCTATGAAAGCACAGACCTTGAGGCCGCCTGCCATTCGGTTCGGTTCTATTCGCTTGCCTGCCTTCAGAAATAACTCGTATTTTTGACGTTGTATTTTTAGTACAACCCAGCCAGCCAGGCTAACAATAATAGGAACGCCAGCCAACTGAAACTCCTCTCGCTGCCGGCACGTTGCTATCTCTTTATAAATTCGCTCGCATTTTTGATGAGCGCTGGAGAGTATGCTGCTATTTTGGTCGCTACCCACAGGCAAATGTCTGTAATCTAATTTTAAAAACGAAATTACATATATAAAATGAGGAACATTTTCCAGAAAATTGTTTGATTGCCGGTTGCAAGAGCATAAAGGATAAGAATTTATTATGAGTTTGACATGGTGCTGTTTTTCCAGACGAGTTGCATGCAATGTTGCACGTTGTACATGAAAGAGATTAAATTCGGGAAAAAACAAGGTTTTTTGCAGCCAGAATATTGCAGAATATTTTGCTTCTACCGTAATTACATAATTACCCCGAGAGGATTTTTAAAATTAATTAATCTGCTCTTAGCTTGCAATCGAATACAAAGAAGGAGGAAAAACTTGATTTCCTAAAAATAAAGTGTTTTTTGAACAGGTAAATTTAACATTTTCCAGCACCAGCAAGTAATTAATTTTCTGTTTTAAAGTATTTGAGTTGTTAAGATACTTTCCCATTTTAAGATATATATTTTGTATAGGGGAACTCATCACGGCGGAATCAAATTGAAAAAATGAAATAAACTCTTAACTAAGTGACTTAAATCTTGTTTTTTCCTTCATCAAAAGAGCTCTGATTTTTCACATACCTCGACACTATATTTTAACCCCACTTTCTCGGTTTTAAAACCCTGATGATTACCAGAAAATTAACGCGTTAGCTGGTTCTTCGGCAGTCCCGTAAAGTTGCCAAGTGGACTCGTAAAAAGAAGCGTAAAAGCACAAGCTCATCAACTTACTTGGAATTAATCAGCGACATTGGACGCAGCGCAGTTGAATGCATTTTTCATTGGTTCGCTGATGCTCGTAAAGGACTCTATCTGACGTTTTATCGCTATCTGGATCGGAGAGGTCCTGGACCTGCTTGATGCCTCTGGGAGCGGGCACATCGTTAACGGCTTAATTGCTTGCCCATTTACACACTGTTGACGTCACGGAGGGCGCCAAATCGCAGCTTCCTGCTGGGCTTTTCCCCCAGTTTTCCTTTCTATTTCCTTCTTGCTTTGTGTTTTTGCGCCTTTTATGTTGCAGCTAATCCGCCGTGCGATGAAATTCTAGGCCCCCTTCAACTTTGGCTTACAACCGGAGCATGCGTGTTTTCATTTATGCATATAAATCCAAGAAAGAGCCAGCCAGCTGCTTTTGCTTATCGCCTAAGCTCTTGATCCGCTGAGAGGCATAAAGACATAAAGACATTACATGACAAAGCGATTTTACGCGCAGGAAATGTGCGTGTTTTATAGGAAAACTCGCGTGATTCGTTATTTCCATTCAATTAAAATGCATTCTTCTGCACAGTCGATTTAATTAAGGATTTATTTTGCCACCAGAGTTTGTTGTTTAAACGCTTCACTTGCTGTTCTCTGAACTTTTAATCGATTAAATTACTCTAGGATATTCTTCAAACTTCGATATTTTTGATCAATTTGAGCACTTTATATTATTCGTTATTTAAATTGGTGTTTATTAAACATTTGTTGCTCTAATAGTATTAAATTAAAATCAGACTAACATTGATATGTATCGTTAAAGTTAGGCGTTAATTTAAATTTTGTCTTTACATTAATCGCTTCTGCGATTTATCCTTTATTTGTCATTAATTGGTTTTTTCGGCTTTAATTGCTTGCTTTTCAGTTCACCTGGAAAAAAACGAGAGAAAAAACATAATTGAAATTTTTTGTTTTAATGTAGACAATTATTTGCGGTTAACAATGATAATTTCACACAAGTGACAGCCCAATTAAACACATGCAAGGCCACTCGGCCACTCGGCCTCTCTGCCACTCTGCCCCTTCAAAGGACCTTCGAATGGGGCCTCCACTATCTGGATTTCACCACCTGCCTCCCAAATTCCCTGCAGAGAAGCAGAAAAAACCAAAAAAAAAAAAGGAATCCTGGATTTAAGTCGCAGTCGGGCGGAGGAGGCAACACTCAAGCTTTTTACACGTCGGGTTGTAATTACATCAGAGCAGAGATTTTTCTTTGCGCCACAGGCACACAAGCGCACTCACACACACACTCGCACACACACCATCGCCTGCACACATATGGGATATAATTAGAGCATAATTACAGCTCGACTAATACTCGAGTATCAGGCAAAAAGCAGCAGAAAAGAAAAATTAGCAGCCAGCCGAGAAGGGGAGCTCCAGCCGGTCATCTATTAAGTATAATCAACGCCACGGCAAGCGGAAATAGACAGATTTCCGGCTATTAAACGCCCAACAGAGCGGCAAAGACTCTCACGGGCGGCTTTCAGCTGACAGCACTGCGAGAAAACCAGTAACTTTTAGCAGATCACCAAAAAAAGCTAATTTAATATGTTTTAATCCAAATTAAGCGCTTTAAAATATTTTCACCTAAGTTTCAAAAACTGCTGGCAAAAGATACCTGTCACGTGAAAGTTTTATAGTTTAAATTGACTTTTATTTATCCATTAAGTGATGTCAAATCATTTAAAGCAATTCTTGAGCAATTTAATAAAATAATTGTAATCAATTGTTGTACCGAGCAACGTTAATTTGTATTAAAGATACGTTAAGTCTTACATTTTGGCTTTTCGGCCTTAATAGTTTCCAACTTTCACTTTTAGCTTTTTACCATATTTCTTCAGTACATACCCTTATAAATTCATCCACTTAAATATAAATTAGAATTTCGAGAAAATAAATCATTTCAAAAGGCCTTTAAAGTAACGGTATAATGATTGGCGTTGATTGATAAAGGTATTTAATCTTATGAGAAAAATGCAATAAGCAAGGGTTTTAATATTAATTTATTCACTAATTGTTCTTTTGTGTTGTTTTGTTGAGTGTATACCTTTAGAGAAACCTGGCCAAATATCTGTGGCACAAATTGAAAAAAGAAATGTTAATTAGCTGTAATTTGCTTGCAGCGTTGCTAGGGTCCAAATGAGGAGGTGGCACGGGGTCCAATGCGTGGGCATTGACACACTTGACATTGACACACACTCACTCCGGGAGCCACTCACCCCCACCCGCTCCCCCTCCCCCTTCCCCTTCCCCTCTTCCTCTGGACAGACACACACACACACACACAGCAGGTGTTGCTCTAATGATGTAATGCCCCCCTTCGAGAGACTTGCCCCACTCTAGAGTGTGGCATAAACCGGTGAGCTCATTTATTAACATAAACAGTTCATTTGTATTAAACTGACAGTCGCAACATGAGAACGAGGCCGTTAGTTGATAGTGGGTCGATCGAGGGCGTGGCCTTGCTCCTAACCAACCCTCACCCATTTCAGCCAAAAAATATTAGGGGGAGTTACATAAATGCAAAACATAAACTTCGATTAGCGGTAGCAAATATCTAATGGCCGACATCGAATGGCAGAAGGCGAAGGGCCGTGCCATTCTGGAACTGAACTAAACTAAACTGAACTGAACTGAACAAGTGAAAGTGCTCTTTTGTGCGGGTCGCTATCAGGTTTCTTGTTAGCCAAAACGGTTCACACACTTTGAGGGAACGGGAGTCCATTGTTCCACTCGATGGCTGCCACTCGCAACAATTTCGCTTTCGCTACATTCATTTACCAAATATGTAGGTATGTATATATTCGTTCTTTTTTTTATGCTTTTTTATTTCTGCTCGCTTGAGCACGCGATATGGCAATTGATAAAACACCGGGTATTCGATATTTCCCGTCACTGCGCAGGCAGCCAGTCATATCGTTAAGACATTCCGAATACGGCCGAATCGTATTTGCCCTGTTTCATATTTTATTATTATGTGCAGTGTGTGCATGTCCCCGGGCGAAATCATTAATATTGTCATGTTATTTGCATTTTACTAATTTTGAGCAAGCAGAACTTTGATTTATTGCGATCTGGTGAGGGTGGCACAGAAGTAATGGCCTACATTTATGGCAGGCAACCAGCGGAAACTAATCCGAAAAGCAGGCAACTATTTACCGGGCAGGGATTTCAGTATCCTTAGATGTTAATGCTAAAATGCGAATTGATATTTTGTGGATTTGGGATTCTTTCTTGCCGAAACATAAAACATCCCAACACAAGCTATATATTTCAGGGAAATCACTATCTATTATTTGAGGTCAAATCTCTGCTGTGATTGCTTGACCCGCAGCTAAAAATCTGCCAAAAAAAGATCAATAACATTTTCGATATATTCTCTATATACACAAGGCCGTACATATGTCGGCGTGTTTAGAGGAATATGATGCATGACCCTTGTATAAATCATGCGGCTTTTGCAGCCTCCTAATGGAGTTTTCCTTTAGTTTTTGCGGCATTTTCCGACACAAAAACGTGTATCACAGGAGCATTGCAAAAAGGCCCGCGGCTCGATTTCGACATGGCTCTATTGTTATTGAACAGAGGACCACCACAGGACGAAAGGATGTGAAAGGAGAAGGACTGATGCTGCTGCTGTTGCTGCTGCTGCTGCAGGAGTGTCGTAAATTTTGATAAAATTCACAGAAATTTAATTACGAATGTGCCTGCCTATCCGGAGGCGAGCGGCGCAACTGCATTTCGATTCGGAAACATGTCAGTTGCCAGGTAATTTATGGTGGCACCACCAACGCACGGTGGCAACTCAAAAACCCACACGGATATCACTTACATGGCCAGCGGTGGCGATGGCGACACGTTCCGCGGATATAGGATGCACTATCTGCCAGCTTCGTGTGCATATAGATAATGGTGATGGCGATGGCGATGGCGCAACTAAACCGACATTTTTGGCTGCCAGCTCAACGAACCGCGACGCGAACACGGAATACGGATACGAAACGCTTTACGGGTAACGGGATACGGAATACGGTATACGGGATACGGGATACAGAATACCCGTAACGGGGTAACGGGGTAACGGGTTACGGATTGCGGGTTACTCCGGACACGGACACGGATTTTTGGGTGGCCAAACGAGATGGAGGTGTCAGTGTTTTGCCCGTGGCACGTTGTGAATTCGCAACTAGCGGTTGCATTTGCGGCTTTGCCACAAACTCAATCCGCGTGGACCGGGTCAAAAAAGTGGGTGGCCGGAGTGGGAGGCGGTGACCCCGCTCGCCGGAAGTTAGCTCATAATGCCACTCACACACAAACACAAGAACACTCACTCACTATCACTTTTTGTTTGGTGAATTTGTGAATTTTCCGCTTTTGCTTTTGGGCCACCTTTTCGACCGACCCTCGAAGGATCGAGAGCTCGATATTGTTATCCTGGCTGAGTTATCCTCGCGAAGGCTTGACAATCACCGCGCGCTGCGTGTTCTTTGCTCGACTGCGGCAAACTGACAGGCGAGGAAAGCGCGCCGCTTTTCCATTTTCCGTTCGCCTAGGTCGTGTCCGTTTGCCGAAGCGCCAGTCGAAAAACCCGATCTCTTGGCCGGATAAAAACCAGCCAAGAGAACCGAGCAGCAGGACTGTAAGAGAGCCAACCCACTCTCTTCGCTTCGGAACAAACTTAAAGTCAATGTTGGCTCGGCGATTAAGGCCTTTGGGAATATTGCCCTATTTCGTTTCGGCTTGGGTCTGCGCTTCAAATTCAATTTGGCCACTCTCACGTTGGCTGCTGCAGTTTCGGGCACTCAAAAGCCAGAAAGGGCTTACTCCCCACCTCCGTTCCCTTCCCGGAAAAACAAACCCCCACCCACACACACAAACACACACACAATCACCTTTCGCTGGAGCTCGTCGGCACATGCAAAGTGCGGGAAAAACGGGCAAACAATTGGGTCAATTGGTCATGGCTGTCAAGGTCTTAAACTTTCGTATTTATGGCATGCGATGCATTGTAATTTTTACTTTAATTTGTTAACTCGAAAACGGGGGGAAACCAGTGGGAAAGCAATCCAGCTCCGGCTGTTGATGGCATCTCGATGCCATGGGTGGTGGCGGTGAAGGGGTCCCTGGGAAAAGGGGGAAATATCCAAGTGGCTGGCCGCGTGCGTTGCATGTGCAGCAATTTCCGCCGTAGTCGCGTGCTTCCGCTCGACAGTCCGGCAAAACTACGCCGGAATGCGGCGCTTGGGGCTGCCGGACAGCACTTAAGTATCTGTTGCCGACAAAGTGACACCCTCCAGATAATATCCGCAACTTGCGGTCGCCATTTGCGACACACTCTCACACACACACACACACACTCGCATTCATAACGCGCGTGCCTCCGTCTGAATAACGGTATTGATAATAACTACCTGCAGTGCTGACTATATATGGTATATAATAAAGAGCGGAAAAAAGGGTTACTAGGGTTCTTGAATAGGGCATAGTAATCTCTTAAAGTTCTTTAGTAATACTTGCTTAAGTGATAGGTTCTTTATTTAGAGATTATTTTTACCTTTTCATATATGTATGTATATACCTTTGTTTTAATTTATTTCTAAACAAATTTGTCAAAAGTTATTGAGTTCACAAATGTTAATACAAATGCTTTGTGGTTTACTATCCCGAAATTTCTTTATTGTTAACCCCAAAGTTTGAATGAAAACTAATAAATTTATTAAGCCCCTGTATATTAAAAACCTACTGTTAAAAATGTGGATTCTTACTAATGAAAAAGTATGATGTAGTAAAATGTGATACAAAAACTCCATGTACACAAAAAAGAATAGATTGGGAAAATGCTTTATTTAGAAATCGACTTGATGTAAAGGTAAAAGGTAATTTTTTAGAAAACCAGCATGCTGCTGCCTATCAAATTTTGTTTTTTTGTCGACATATCTCTTTTATTCAGACCTCGTAGGGATTAGCGGTGAGGAATCACAATCCCGGACATATATCAACCTGGATCATAAATTCTGCTTACATGTATCCCGCCTGTCGAATCAATAATTATGTGGGATGTGTCTCTCATTCTGTGAGGTCGAGTTTTTATGGCAAACTCCTGGTGCTAAATGTTATTTATTAGCAAACTTTTGCGGCTTTGCCAACTTTTTTCGCCGGCTACAAATTTCTGTCTGTCAATAAAGCGGCTAACAACGCGCTTGCTTCTTCATCTTTGTGTGGCTGACGTTGACGTGGATGTTGGCAGCTCCTTCATTGGTTGTCGGCGAACATAAATGGCCGACAGTAAATTAATTTACGTACATCACAAGTGCGCTTAATGGTGTGTATGGGCGTGGCCGCCCACGCCGCGTTGGATTTTTCGCGAATCCAGTTGAGAGAGTCCTGCGAAACCGTTGGGCGTCGAGTGTCCAGTCTTTTTGGAATGGCAAATGCGTGTTTGCCCAGAGTCCCGCGGGCGGAGGTGGAGCTCGCACTCCATTTCGAGCTCTTTGCCCTCGCATGTTAGCCAGCCATTTTTCCGCCTCGGGCAGCCCTCTTTTTGCATCGCTGACATTTTAATTGCATTCGGACAAGGCAGCAAGTGCAGCTGCAACTGCGACTGTTGCAGGGACCCCGATGACAGGGACAGCAAACCGTTCCAGAGGCCCGGGTCCAGGTTCCAAGCTCTCCGGTCCCCTGAATGGAATCACTCAGAAAAAGATGCCAATTTAGCACAGTGCGTAAATAAATTAAAAGCTAAAACCTTTTACTTGTATTTTTATCAATCACTGCACTATTCAACCCCAGTCTGAATATTACAATTATTTCTATCTTTTTTTCAGATAATTTGTAAGATCAACAAAAGAATAAAATTAATCAGGGAATTTTGGGAAATTTTTATTCAAAGAAACATAGAACTTCTCAATTTTTGAAACTTTGATTGTGCAGTATTTTATTTTATTTAATTTAGCTATGTGTTCCTTCAAATTAATATAAACTGAAGCACCATACATTTTTTTTCAGTGAAAAGAACAGACACAGTTGTCGATGTCGGTGGTTCAAAGTGGTGCTGGGGCAGTGACTTTTTGATTTGCTTAATCCCAGATCGCTCCCCGAGCGGGTGAGTTGGAGAGACCTGGCTAAAAGAGGCAGCTGGGCAGCAAAAGAAATCCTTTTAAATATTTCAATAGACAGAAGGAGCCAGTTCGGCGCCCAATGGCAGCTTCATTTCGCCCGGCAATGACCATTAGGCGTACAATTTCCTTTTTGACGTTGCGCTTTTGCCTCATATCTTTTGTCTGCAGGCCGCCTAAGCAGTTTCCCCCTGGTATCTCCACACCACGCCCCCAAAGTATCTGCCCGCTTTTGTATCTCCAAGATACGCCAGACAATGTAGCTAAATGTTTAATGAGCGCAAGTGCAGCGAGCCAGAAGAAGATATATACATATAGATTGGGGCGATGGGGAGCTTGGGGTCGGCAAACAAGGAAGCCGGTTGCCGGCTGCCGGCTAGGAAATGAAAGCAGCCGAATCGAAAGACAACATTTGGGCATATAAATAAATAAAATCCAGCTAAGACTACCAAAACGAATTGAAAAAGAATGGGGCCAAGTGTCTGCCCCATCTGCCACCTGCCACACTTAAACATACTCGTACATGTGTATAAACCAAGTTCCTATGCATTTATGGTTCACTGAACCCTTTGGCAGAGTGTGCGCCATACTAAAAATATAAAAATAGCAAGGATTAAATGTGGGCCTGTGGTGCACTATTTAGAATGTTTTGGTATTGAACAGTGGTAAAATAAAGTGGAGGATTGAGAAATAGATTCCAATAAATGTGTGTTCCTTATAATTTAATAATTTAAGGAAATATTTAGTTTAGGAATAGGAAATAATGATTTGGAATAACAGCTTATAGATATTTTGAAACGTTAAACAAGGAGAAGATAAAATAACATAGCCACTTCTAGGAATATTCAATAGTTATTATATCATTTTATGTGTTTTATGTGCTGCTAGTGCATTAAAATGGATCGAACTATAGTTACCCCATAATACGGGTTGAGAATAATAGTTATATCCTTACTTGTTATTATTTCATGTACTCTGCATTAAATGCATTAGTTATATGATTTATACCTTGACTTCTACATCTGCCTGCCTTCCTGGTATAATTATACCAATACCAAACTCTGGATTCAGAACACCGATGGATATATCAATTTCTTGCCGGCAACTCCCAGCTGGCAAAGCTCTGTCAGGATTGGAAGGTTCATTGAACTCCGCTGAAGTCCAGGGATTATATGCTACAAGGCACACCAGAAGTTGTGTGCTGCAACTGTTGTTGCTCGTTGCTCGAGTGCTCTTACTCATATGGAATTGTGTCACGTATTTTATTTCGTCAGATGTCAGGGGATCCGGGGAACCGGGGCCAGCGGATGAACGACCGGGTAACCCGGACCAAAACTGTCCGCCTAACTGGCGGAGCCCTGACGTTGCCGCCGAAGCTTTGCGGAGCACAGTCAAAGTTTCTAATTTAATTGTAAACTCAAAATGTGCAAGGCAGAAAATAAATCCCACGTATATGTAATGTGATTTCCCACCTGCTACTGCGCGATGAACTAAAGTCTGGGGTCAGAAGCTTGACCTATGACAAGCCGAACCTTTCGCATTTCGGTGAACCATCCAAGCGGTATTTTTGGGACGTTAACGATAACGATTTAAAATGAAATTAAGCCGAGCCAGTGAGCCACGAAAATGGAATACGACTGGCTCGTTTGACACATTAGTTACTATTTTTGAGGTCCTGGCGGTGTTGCACTCAAAAGCGGAATTTAATTACACTCGAACCAAGGGCACGAGATCCGCATCACGGCACGGATTTAAGCCTTCTCCGTGTTGGCTGTTTGTCAGGCCAACAATGCCATAATAACCCCACACTTGGCCCCAATTCGAGGCACCACCTCGTGTGCCCGGCACTTCGCCTTTCGCCGGTTGCAATCCACCTGATCCCATTGTTTTGCGCCGGCTTGGTGGCACTGCCAAAAGCGAAAGTTTATAATGGACTTGGCCTGGGCCCGGCGAATGCAACTTTGATTCCGACCGCTCCGAAATTAGTTGACAATGGAAAGCCTGGAGTTGGCAGCTGAAGCTGAAGCTGAAGCGAGGGCTAAAACAAGCCACCCGGTCCCCAAAGCAAGCCAAATGAAATTGGAATGTTTGCCTTTGGCTTGAGTTTGCCTCTTCCACCGCCTCGTCCTTTGTCCTTCGTCCTGCCTCCTGCCACTCTCCTCTGTTTAGCTCGCAACCAGAAACGATTCCCAGACACGGACAAGG